CTGGCGCCGCGGCTGTCAGGGCGGCGGCAGGTGCCCGGCGGCGGGGAGGCCCGCGGGGCCCGGTACCGCGGGCCCGGGTTGTGCCCGCCTCGGTGACTCTCGGGATGGGAGGGGGTCGTTCCTTCCCCTCCCCGGGCCGCCCCTGCGGCGCTTGGGCGCCCATCCGACGCTCCCCCGGGGAGAAGGTTCGTGGGAGGGGAGCGCCTCTTCTCGCTGCCCGTGGAGGACGGGGGCACGGCAGGGCCCGAAAAGCCGAGGCCTCCGCGCGTCGTGGGCAGAGATCCCAGGCGGCCGTGGGGCGCGGGGGGGCGGGGGGAGCGGAGCCGTCGTCGGGTTTGCTGAGTCGCCTGGGGATAGGCGAGGGAGGAGGTCAGCGTTTGGATTTCTGTCCTCGCAGATGCTCAAAAGCCGGACGGACGAAGCCCTGAGCGACCTGCTGTCGCTGACCCTGCTCTGAGCAGTGGAGGTTGGGCGAGACGACCTCCCCGGCTCCCTTCCCGACCTCAAAAAATACGGATCGTGCGATCCTGCAAATAGGAGCAGGGAGGGCCACGCAGCACAGCCGGCTTGCACGTCCTAAGCTCACACGCTTCCTGGGTGCTGCCTCTTGTAGACAGAGGGGTTTTGTGCCTCTTCTCGTGATTTGGTACTGCCTCTAAAAGCCTGTGCATCCAGAGAGAAAAGTCCAGTTAAGTCTTATGGGGACAGGACTGGCATCTGTAATCTTGAGCCTAGGATCTGTCGCAAGAGCAGTACTTCTTATTGGTTCATTTGCTTGCTTTGTAGTAAATTAATAGCAGATCAAATGCAAACATTTGAGTATAAGAAAATGAAACGGTGTGAGCAAGCTATTAAAAACCAGCAGAGATAATAGCATTTACACAGTAGTTCTAGCAAAGCATCAGGTTAAAAATAATTGTATTTCTTTGTATTGTGTGCAACCTAAAATTCACATTTGAAGCCTTTATTTGTCAGAGAGGGTGCATGAATACAGACAAGGAAAAGGCATAAAGTACACTTGGGTTTTGTTGCTTTGCTGCAGCATTACAGTGCTTAGTTTATAGTTAAAGAACACATTGACACCCAAGCAAGTCCCTTGTTAGTATATAACAATCTAAAGGAAAACAGAGGTGATGATCAAATAACCGTAGAGTTGGATTTTGAATCATCTGTTTTGCTTTTGGCAAACTGTTGTAGCACTGGACACAGATGTGGTAAAGTTATGTTTTTTTCACATTGATTTCTTTCAGATTCTAGTAGCATGATATTACCTGGAGAATTCAGGCTAGAAATTTTGGAAGTAGAAAAAAAATATTGATTAGTCTAAAAAGAGACAGTCCAGAATTACCTGATTTGAAATTGTACTAAAAATAGATTCAAACATTTTTCATCTACACGTTACTGAAGGTGGTTTTTACTTTTATCGCACTCATTTGTTTCTGTGATTTAAGTGAGCTTTCCATTTTGTGCTTATGGGGAGGATGACTTACAAAAATTTCTACTGGGATTAGTGACTAAATACTGATTTTGATGAGGTTAAAACTTTCTGCATAAAAGGGGTAGGTCACACCTGTCAAATGCAGTAGTAGCAAGCACTTTTCTCCCAGCTACATGTAGTTAAAACTTGTTTTGTAGTTGCTTTAGGAGAGCACACTTTAGAAATTACCTGTTCTAGGAGCTTTAAACAACTTTGGAATTCTCAAATATTTAAAAAAAAAATTCTTAGCATGATTAAAATCTGAATTTACAAACAAAAAAATGAGTGATGATAGACCTTTACAAACGGGCTGTTAGGCAATAACACATTTGTTGTGGTTTAACCCCAGCTGGCAACCAAGCACCATGCAGCTGCTCGCTCACTTCCCCCCCACCCAGTGGGATGGGGGAGAGAATCAGAGGGAAAAAAGTAAAACTCGTGGGTTGAGATAAGAACAGTTCAATAGAACAGAAGGGAAGAAAATAATAATGGTAATAATAACTATAATAAAATGACAATAACAGTAAAAAATCGGAATATACAAAACAAGTGATGCACAATGCAATTGCTCACCACTCACTGACCGATGCCTAGTTAGTCCCCAAGCAGCGATCCCCACCAGCCAAGCCCCCCCCAGTTTATGTACTGGGCATGACATCACATGGTATGGAATACCCCTTTGGCCGGTTGGGGTCAGCTGTCCTGGCTGTGTCCCCTCCCAACTTCTTGTGCTCCTCCAGCCGTCTTGCTGGCTGGGCATGAGAAGCTGAAGAATCCTTGACTTAGTCTAAACACTACTTAGCAGCAACTGAAAACATCAGTGTGTTATCAACATTTTTCTCATACTGAATCCAAGACATAACACTATACAAGCTACTAGAAAGAAAATTAACTCCATCCCAGCCGAAACCAGGACAACATTTTATGAAACTATGTGTATAATGTATTTGCATAATGAATAAAATAGTATTTAGTAGTAGTAATTGTAAGTGCATTTATTCTTAGATCGTATATATTTGAATAGGGACAGTGTAGTTAACTTGTTGATATCCAGGAGCTGAGTATAAACCACAGTTCAAGTAACCACTTTACTGTGAAATTTAATCCTCCATTTTTTGGATAAACTGACTTGTCCGATGCAAATGTTTCTGGCATTTATTGTCCAGAAGCTTGGACTTAAATTCTAAAATGGGCAGTAATGTAAGGTGGCACTTCAGTGCGTTGCTGTGGGAGAAGTAGTGTCCTCAGTGGAGGAGGAGAATGAGTACAAGGTATGAGGAGCTGCTGACATGCTGCTGCTTTGTACTGGGTAAAGTTTGATGTGCCTGAGGAGGAAGCAGTTGTGACAAAAGGCCATATCTAAACTACTCAGAACCATGTTTCTAAATACCAGCTACCTTAAGGTAAAGTTGCCAGGGCTCCCCACACTACCATGGAGTTTGGGTTGGGTTTGGTTTTTTTTTTTTTTAATGGAGGAGTCTGCCAGGAAGACTCCTCAGTTGTAGTTGAGTGCAGAAGCTGCTGATGCACTGACGGTGTGCAAGCTCTGCTTAGTTTAGTAGGTGATGAGTGCATGTGAACTCATAAAGCTAGGAAATGGGAGCTATTGAGCAAGGAGGTGAGAGGAGGCTATTACGAAGGTTTAAGGAAAGGAGGTAAATATAGGAATAACACGGGGACAATTTTTCAACGTACTAGTACTGTGTGACTTTGTGTATATCCTTATTCCTATCCTATCTGTCCATTACCTTTACTTACCAAGTGGCTTTTTTCCTTGCTGTGCTTAAAAGCTGATGCCATCCGCATTCATCATCTGTTTATGTGCACATCTGGTCCCTGTCAGATTACAGGCTTGCTTCAGTGGGACTGTTGGGAGTGAATGAAAAATGAGTGAGGTCTTATCTTAGAAACACCTTGAGACTATTAGACTGGAATTACTGTGTTAAAGGGCAGGACAAGTTGAGGTCCATTATGGGAGGGCAGGCATCTGGTTTTGTGATGCATATTAAGACTATGCAGAGTCTTGGCTTTCATTTTCAGGAAAAAAGTATCTAGCATGTCAGGCTGTAGAGATAACCTTCCAAGTACGACCTGAGCTCAAGTGATGTCTGCCTGAGGCTGATGTGCCTGGAGTCCAAATGTCAACCTTAACTTTTAATTACAAACCATTTTTGTCTGGGGCTTTGAGTGGGAGTTGGGATCAAGTTCTGAAGCCCATGGGATTTGTAATTAAGTAATACATCTGTATTACCTTTTCTGAGAAGAGAGGGCACTTAGAAAAGAAGAACAGACTGGAAAACAAACTTCAGAAGGAAATGAAACAAAAGGCAGAAAAGCAATATTTTTGTAGAGTAATTTCTCAGTGTGTTCTTATATTGGAGGATATGACTGTTACTGAATAGGAAATTAATTGATGTGAAAGGTGATTTTATTTGCTTGATCTCTCCAGAATTAATCTTGGTCTTTAATGTGGCACCCTGGATTGAGGGCTGGATAAACATGATTGGCTGTTTTCTGGACTATAAACAAACTAGTCTGTACAGGGCAAGAAAATGAAAAACATGTAAAATGTAGCTTCACCTTTATTTCTCCCTTCATTAATGTTTGGCTTTTGTGAACTTTATGGGAGGATGTTTGAAAAACTCTGTATTTTTCTTCTTGCTTAAAAGTTGCTTTAAAATAAACTCAGAGCAGAGGTTAATTTTTTTAACAAACTTAAAAAAAAGCACTTTTTTTTAACAACATCAGCATAGCTAATGAAAGGATTACTTAAAATCTGGGAAAGTGTCAGTTTTTCTTTGTGGGGATAATTTGGAATACAATGTAAACAGTGGAAGTAAAATATGTAGCTGTTGTCATCAGGGAAGGATGATGGTCTAACTAAAAGTTATTGTCACCGTTAAATACAATTTTTCTCCTTTTTATTCTAGAACTAAAATAAATGCTAGTTGCATCACAAAACAGGCAACAGTAATCCAATGCTAAACGTAATTTATTTGATAACAAATGGTGGAAACTGAGAATCTTGAATCCTGAGCACTGTGAATAACCCATATCCTTTTATCAATAATTATCTGGCTATCTTTTGTCAGGTTTATGGCTACTAATGACTTGATGACAGAACTACAGAAAGATTCTATCAAGCTGGATGATGACAGTGAAAGAAAGGTGGTGAAGATGATTTTGAAACTACTGGAAGATAAAAATGGTGAGGTGCAAAACTTAGCTGTCAAATGGTAGGTATTCTTGTTCTATGGTGTAAAGAATTGTTTAATGCCTGAACAACGTAAAGCATTTTTTAAAAACTTAAAGGACCACTGCTATGCAAAATAATTGTGAAATTGATGTCCACAAAGGAACCCTTGTACTTGTAGGCTACCTGTCTTAATTGTAGTTTCTTACAGAACTGTCTTTTGTTGACATTACAGATTAACATTTGGGGTTTCAGGTGACAAATAGTGCATGCAGTCCTTGCTGAAAGCATATGAATGACATGCTTGTTCTTTGGTGATAATTATTGAATGCTGAATAGATTTAAAAAGATTATAATTCATCGGTAGTTGCTATGTTGATATTTGACTGTGAGAAGGTAGATGATGTGTAGGGGAAGAATTGCAGTATTGGAATAGTTTTCAAGCAGAAATGAAAACATAAAAAGGTAAATATATGGTCTTAGTTATCAAATACAGAACTTAGGTCTTCACTAACATTCAGAATACTGTGTTAATGGTTTTACATGCTTACAGGAACTGTAAATGTTTTATGGGGTCAGGGTACAGTTACTTGCATTTCAGAGACTTCTGTTGCTTCAGTGCCCTCTCTTCCTCACTTTATTTGACTTTACAAGTAGTGTGGCTTTTCCAGAGCACCCTTTGAAGAGGTGCTACATTTATTAACGACTTACTTTTTGTTCTTGGCCCTTCTGACTTTTTGTGCCGTTTAAGGAGGGTCTCCCTGTTAAGCTTCTAATGTTCCTGAGAGTATTTCTTGTTCGTGAGGTCAGTTTTGGTTTTTTTTATTTTAATATTACATCTATGCTACTTATGTTCCATGAGGCATGGATTGAAGTAAACTTGCTACGCAAGAGGTTGGGACAGCTTTGAAGAGAAGTTTCACATTGTGACTAGCTGAATTAGTTTGCTTCAGCATGTTATTCTTTACAGTTTGCCCTATCAGACTAGCAAAGCAGAAGATTAAAGCCTGTGTGTACATCTGCTTATGTACTTAGAAGCAGTGCTTGCTTCAGCTTCTGAAATATTTTAAATGATAGTAACCAAAACCTTGCACAGAGAAACTAGTGTAGGAATAGCAAGTTGTCGAAGTTTAATATTAGCAGTGTAGTAATATAATTATCACTACTTTTTCACTACTCTCATCAGGGTTGCAGTGGTGTTAAAATGTGTCTTCCCCCACCTTTTTTTTTTTTTTAACAAACAACACAAAATACTATGCTTCTTTTTAATTCAGACTTCTGAAATGTCAAAGTTCCTTGTGGTGCAGCTTAAGTACTATGGCTTTGAAACATTGCTTATACTCAATCAGAAGAGTAGATTATTATGAAATTTGGCTGAGTCTTAGGATTGTTTTTGTGTGAAATAACTTTTCCACAAAATGCTATGTTGCAGCATACATGCAGTACTCCTCTTTTATGTACATCCTAAAGTTATTGTGAAGTTTAGATTAATGCATGTAGACATAGCTTACATATCACAATCTTTAATGGCAATGTTAGAATTTTGGACCTAAAGTGCAAGTAATGTTTATTAAAACATGAAAGAAAGATTGCAAAGGGAAGAGAATGAGAAAATAGATGGCTGCATGTGTATGCGTGCATGTGCCCGCGTCCTGTTCTTATTAACCATTCTTGTATTTTTGAAGTTTATTTTGACATACGGATAAAATTCTTGGATTTAATTAAAACGACAGGATCTGTTTAAAGTTTGGAGTCTTTCTGAGAAATCCCAATAATGTTAAATAACAGTGTTAAATTTACTGTAGTGGGACAAGAAACATGATGGAGAAGTTTACAGGTAAATTGTGAACATTGATCTAGAACATGTACATTCTTGAACATATCGAGTTCTTTTTGGCGTCCCAATCACTTGCAGATATGCTTTGAGGACAAAAAAAACCTACACTAAAAGAGTCTTCTCTTCTTAAGGCAGCTTATACTCATGGTATTGTTCCATGACAGTTTTAAGCCAGTCTAAGCTAACGCTGCTGCTGCTCTGCTGTTCTCACCCTCCTTGTCCCTTTTCTTGCACTGTTGCATATCTGATTTTGTTGTAGAGTGGTTTGGGGACTTGGTTTTCTTCTGGCTTACTGCTCCTCCTGCAATCAGATGAGCGCTGGTAGAAACAGTGGTTGGGGGTGAAGGATGGGAGAGGTTGAACACTATTAAGCTGTTCTGAGCTTAAGACAGTTCAAGCTCATCTAAAGTCTTCCATCTCTACTACAACACTGGGCGTAAGCCTGATTCGTTGGGAAGTTAAATTCAGCCAGCATATTTTTCTTGACTTTTTGGTTTTTAAATATTTTGTGTTGTCGTTCTTTACTTGTGTATTTCTGTTATGGATTTGCTGGCACTTTCAGCTGAGGAAAGCATAAACTGTGTTTAGATCACTATTAACTTAAATGCTCTGGTGAACTTTAGAAACTATCAGCAGGAGCTTTCATCACACTGGTGCTTGATGACCCATTTAAGTATAGATTTCCTCTCTCGTAGAAAAAGGATTTAAGACAACTGTATGTACCTTTCAGTCTGTATTTGAGACAGATTTTTCCTTGAGGAAGGGAAGATGGGAGCTTCCTCTACAGGTAGATCAATGGAAACACTGTGAATGGCAAAGGTATTGATCACTCCTTGAGCAGGTAAGAATGTCTTGCGGGAGGATCACTCTTTCAGGGTTTGACTCTTGAGGTCACTGAACAGAGCAGATTTAAAACAACTCGGGCAGCCTTCAAGCAGCATTTATTTTTAGGCAAGTGTAGCAACAAGTAAGCAGTGTTCCTGGTTTTGCCTTACCTGCTGCTTGCTTTCATATTTGGGTAGAAAGGGCTCTATTGGTTAAAATGCCGATGAACTTGTTTCTTATTATCTCTTCAAAGCACACTAGTGATTTTGCTCTTGATCCTTTCAGTTATATTACACTGGTTTTGGACAGGATAAAACATGTTGGTTTTTGGTTAGCAGAAGTCAGGCTGAGAGTTCATGGATATTTGGGTAGCTACCTTGCAGGAAGATTGTGCAGTTCATTTCTGAATAAAAACAAAAATTAATGAGCTGCCTTAGTACTCTTGGAGTAAAAGCTCTAAGCTTTGACTCTGCAGAAGGGAAGGGAGTGTATTTGTCAAGCTTCTGTTACTGTAGGCAGCAGATGCAAACTAGGTCAGTAACTGCAGGTTGCTCACCTTGTTTTTCTTAAGAGCATGTAAATTTTTAAATGTATTCTTGTTGTCTGCGTTTTTCCTGGAGGAGTTGTTTTTTGCTTCACCTGATAGTCATAGGCTGTTTTACAGTCAGCCAATGTAGAAAATGCTATTGGACATTCTTATGGCATATTCTTAGTTTAAGGTTCTTAGTGTAGTCCAGCATGGTACCTTGTGCACCTTATGGCAGTAGTAGTTACACTGCCTTGTAGATCTATCCAAGATTATGTGCATCTGGATTAGAAAAGCAGTATGGTTTGCCTAAGCATAGGTGTTGTGTTGGATGGACTGTTTGTTCTTCATTGCTGATAATGTTGATAATGTTTCGTTAACCCAAATTGCACGTTAATTGTTTCATATGTTCAGTGTTGCAGTTTAAAGATGAACTGTTTCTCATTTTGAGCAGTTATCTATGGTTTGATATTCTGCCACTTAAACCTATTCGTACAAATTTTTATTGTTTCACACTGTGAAATGTTTCCTGAAACCTGTAAAAACCCAAACAAATGCATATATGTATATATATATTTGGAAAAAAAAAAGAAGATGGGATTAAAGTAAGTACTTTCAGCAGTTCCTCCCTTGTGACACTGTAGTTTCTCTGCATTTATCACGGTGAGTTCTCTGGGCAGTAGTTCAATATAGGGAACCCTGCTTGATGCTGTGAGTGTGAGTCATTAGAGTGAGCAGGATGATGCACATATTGGCTGTTGTGTGGCTGATCCGGTTCAGCAGCTTTAAAGAGTTTTGGATGCTGTGGTAATACACTGCTGCACATCACACTATAGAGGTGATTTGAATCTTTTTTTTTTTTTTTCCCCATCTGTGAATTTTAACTTTTCCCTGTAAGTAAATGTGCTTATTTGATAGTCTCAAACTGGCATATTTTAACAGCTATAATTGATTACGAGTTGGTGTCCCCCTTCCTAATAAGGAGCTACACTATAAGCACCTTTATTTTCAAATGTATGTAACTTAAAAGGAGACAGTGTGTTATAGCTGCTGTTTATTTCCATAGGCAGCTGAATGAGCTTTTGACTTTAAGAGAAACTAGACACAATTTATTGGCTAGTGAACGGGAAAATATCAAAGAGCACTCAAAACAATATCTGAAACTGTCTTCAAATGTGTAAAATACACGCTTAAGTACAAAAGCTTTGCATTCAGAACTGATTTAATAGAAGAAAGTTATAGTTTATTTTTTACTTCTGATAAGCTTAGTAAGGTCTGTAAGGGATAAAGTACTGATTTTAAAGGCCAAAAAAGTTTGAGGCAGTCTTTTTAAAAATTTACTTCATAGTTGGTATGTCAGCTTTATTGAACCAATAGGCTGAATAAATAGGATGAAGACCCTAACTCAGGTAAAATCTGGTTTAACACTTTCTAGAAACTGTAATTTCAAGTGTTTATTTGAATGACTTTGTCATTTTGGTGGTTTGGTCATCTTTAAAACAGCAAAAAAGTATTTCCTGTACTTAATTGAGATGAATCTACCAGCTTTCACTGTGATTATTTTAGTTACTCATAGGTTACACTTGAAAAATAAACATATTTAAATTAGAAGAATTTAGTAGTTGTTCAATAGTTCAGGTTTAAAAAAAAATCCTTACCATCATTTCAGATGTTTTCACTTATGGAACAACTGTTTTCTGTTGGAGGTCTGCTTCTGGTCTGTTAAAGTTGACGTATAAAAGGATGGTGTCAGCTGCAGATCTCTAGGGTGTGGAAGATGTATTTTCGTAGAGCTGCACAAATCATTGCAAACTGCAAAAAGCAGAAGATGTGACCTTTCTAGCAGTGAAAGGAG